CGGCGATAGTTACTTACCATCAGGTGAGCAGCATACTCCTTGGCCTGTGTTATAAAAAAAGTTCTCGATCGCGTAAGTGACAGAGCGATCCGTCCTAGCTATTGGATACGAGCGACGGGTCAGCTCGAAGTAGGTATAAGAGATAGATTCAATCAATCTTTGCCTATTTTTAAAAACTTAGCTAAATCCCACTACCTATCCTTATAATCACTTAGTCCTCCGTATATATGTATGTATATATATTTATATATGTATATGTATGTGTATGTATATATTTGGATGTATGTGCATATGACTATGCTGTCACAGATATTTATTAATTTTACAAATCTATTTTTTTAACACGCCACCTACCTATTTATGCTTTAATTCCATCTACCCAAAGGTCATCTGGAAGAGATTGCTTAGCAATAAGGCCGCCTTTTGTACAACACTATACGTATTGAAAATTGTTCAACAAATCCTATTATGTTGGTACAATAAAGTGTTAAATAATAAATAAATAAAATAACACCTAGTTCAAGTAAATATAATCCCTTTCCCCTCCCCTCGCTTGGATTTCATTCAGTAGCCCTTTCCATTTCGCGTATAGCCCAAAAGGTTAAGAAAACAACAAATCAAAGGTTAGTCACAAAACGGCCGGGACGAATTCAATCAACGCCGATGAATTCGATCCGTGATCCGAAATCTAATAGGTTTATCAAAAGTCCGCTTTTATACGACTCGCTTTAGAATTTTGTCTTACTTTAGTGATAGTATGAATCACCTCAATAAGTATAAGCTAATATTACTACTACTGGGGGAAAGGGATTGTTAGTAATGGAGACTGGGAATCCCGTTGCTAGCAATATACCCAACCAGATCGAACTCCACGCGGTTTCCCCTGGAAACTATCATGGTTAATTCCTGATGAATTCATCATGATGGGCTAACTGGCCTGTTTTCATTCTCATCTATCACCTTTCACTGGTGCTCCGCCAGCGTATCCCGTTAGCGCAGGCGGGGTTGCCATACCATTTTCAGCCATAAAAAAAACCTGGTATGTACGATAGATAGATAGAGACTCTTTATTGTTTTCTTCAAAAGATTACAATAGTATATAATATAAAAAAAAATATTACTACTAGTAAAACTTATGACCTACTTATTTGTTTGAGGCGAGACGCTGCGACGCAAAGCACCGTGCTCACCCTGAAAAAGACTTCCGGATGAGGTCGAAACTATTGTTTGAAAAGAAAAACGTAGTAAGTTATTCAGTATGAATAATATTAATAATTTTATTTGCTATGATTTTGGATATAAAACATTTGATCTTATAAATTAAAAAATACTTTACAAAATCTGCTAAGGTCAAGCGTGCAAATATTGAAAATAAAAATTACAATAATTTCAGTTTAAAATTCGACTCATATGGGGACCATAATGGATGGTAATTGACTACCGCCGCCCATGATCACCCACAACACCAGCGGCATTGCAGGTGTGCTGCCGGCCTTTTAAAAAGGAATATACTCTTTTCTTGAAGGTTATGTTGTCGTATCGGTTCGGAAATACTGCTACTGGGAGTTGATTCCAAAGAATGGTTGTGCGTGGAAGAAAGTGCCTTGAAAAACGCACGGTGGAAGACCGCCACTCGTCCAGATGATTGGTATGAAACTTTAGTTTGTGGCGGGTTGTACGGTAGTGAAAATCAGCAGCAGGTATCAATCCGAACAATTCCTCAGAACACTCCCCATGATAAATTCGGTAGAAGATGCATAGAGATGCAACATCTCTGCGCAGTTTCAGTGGGTCGGACAGTAAGAAAATGCGACTTTAATCCTCTTAAATACACTAATGTCGAGTTTTCTGAAAAAACAAACACCTTTACTTATTTATGGGACATTACAAAAGCTATAAAAAATAAATAAAAATATCTACCTGTATATCTCTTTATTTATTTATACCGCAAATGCAATTTTATCTTGTTTGAACTACATCTCAAAAAGTCTGGTGAGTGGCACAACGGAGAAAATAGCACCAATAAGGCATCACGACGGCATGCACGGGCGGTAGGATTAAGATCATATTGGCTGGCATGTAGCGATAAATTCTTTTAAAAAAGAAATAAATTAAGAATAATAAAGAATTTTTTTTGGATTTTTTTTTTTGTTTTGTATGTAACAGGACTTGGCGAATTTTTATAAATGAAATGTTGTTAATTTCGTAGTTCTTGAAGTATCTACATAATAACAGTGGGATCGAAACCAAAGCAAGACTTCTCTAAATCAATTTCTAAAATTATAATTTTAATTTGATATCACAGCAAGATTTTTATTATAAGGAATAATAACAAATGATTATGATGATTCGGAAAACAATAATTTCACGAAATTATCAAATAAAAATACTTATTAGATAAAGAAGTCGATTTAAAGAAATGGCGCCTGAGCGTAAAGTAGATATGGCGTTCGTAAACTGTTAAAAACTTCAATTTAACATATTTTTTGAGGTAAGGTTACGTCATGCAAAAATAGGAATCAAGCATACGGTCTATATGATGGACAATATCAATCGTCATCGGTGTACTAAAATTAAAACACAAGAAAAAAAAGTTTTCCTTTGTCTCTACACTAGTGTGTCTATGTGATACTTAGATTATATAGATAGAGTAGCTCCATACAAATACTTCGAGAGAAGCGGGTCAACTTTTTCCTACAACTTTCCGTGACAAATAGTTATAAGTATTTCCTTTATAATTTCTATATTTATTTTGTTTTATACTGTTTGCATATTTTAATGCGAAAAAACTCATTTTATTTATTACATAATTTAATATAAATACGTCAAGATAGATTATAAGTATTATATATAGTGCGTAAGTATATAAAACAGTAATAAAAAAACGAATCAGCTAATTTGACAATTATCTGACGAAAAGCCGACTCGTTTGTGAGATTCGATGCTCTATCTATATATTCTAAGGTATGCTGCATCATATTTCAGTTTCATTATCAGGTCAAACAAATCGCTATGGCTTGCTACTGTGACCACAGCTCACAGCTGTTTGCTCACCTAACAAGATTTCGTAGACGGAAATAAACTTTGTACCTATTTGTTTGTTGCTCTATGTCTATACCAATTTGTAACCTACTATTCCTTTTAAATATATTTTTATTGGTAAAATCATAGAGTATTGCTGCCTTTTATGGACGGGAGCATCTAGATGCCAGCTTGAACCCTTCGAGTGCAACGACGAACTATGAGAATTGTCGATGATCTCAGGCTTACAAGCGGTATCGAATCGGGGATTTTGCCTCACTCTAAGTGTTCTACCGCTTGTACAACGGACTGTGCTCAGAGGACTTGTTCAATATGATGTCCACGACCATTTTCTATCATGTTCAAGGACAGGGACAGAGAGTTCACCCCATACATACCTTAGAGTCTGGATGGTCGCGTACAGCTCGGTTTCAGAGATGTTTTCTCCCAATAAGACTCAGGTTATGGAATGAGCCTCCCTATCGTTTTTCCAAGAGACTACAGTAAACAAGTTTTAAAAAAAGGAGTAAACAAGGTGCTTCAGAATCGGCAATGCACGCGTAATGTCCTGGTATTGCTTGCGTTCATAGGCTACGGTAATCGCTTACCATCAGATAAACTGTATGATTATTTGCCACGTTAGTGGTATAAAAAAAATTAAAAATCAAACCTTATACTTTCTTCCTTCTTCTTCCTTTCGGGTTTTCTAGGTTGACTAGAAGGAATCCCTTTAAGGGATATGTCCACCTGTGTACATTTTTGTTATAATCTATGTTAAAAGTAAATATATAAGAGCAAATAAATAAATAAGAGTCTAAATATGTTTGCTGCATGGGTACTTCTGTCCCGCTCGTATCTGTGCTGTAAACTAGCATTACAGTGAAATCGCGAACAAGGCTAAAAAAAAAACTCTCAAGTCTAGCTTTTATGAATAGCAATACATGAGGGACTCACACGCTCACAGTAAATTCTGATGTTCGCAGTTGCTCAACTTTAGTGGCAATTGGCTGATGGTTTCTAGCCAAAGCTTTATGGTAAACAGAACCTGTAGTCTATGGACAACAAGAGTGAACCCTGAAGACACCATAATATATCTTTTTTGAAGAGCCCCTTATTGTAGACTGTATGCTCTTTTATATTCTATTTCACAATCATCATCATGATATCATCATCATCATGATAGCCGTTTTCTGACGATTATTGAACATAAACCTCCTCCATCGACTGTCATAAGGAACAGGGCTGTTTCTTACGGCAGTTTACTAATGGGAGGATTTTGCTAGTAGTTGCCACGTTTGGCAGACAGGTTGGTAACTGTAGTTTCAGTAATATTTTAAAAGTCTGTCCATAGTGTCTATTCCATTCCTCGATCATAACGTTTCTTTAGACGCCTCTTACGATAGTTAGGGGAAAGGAAGGGGCAGCCCATTCCATGCCGGGACTACACGGCAAGATATTGTATTTACTATTTTTGATATAGTCAAATTCTGTATTTGAGTTTTATTTATATTTATTTTTTCACTTCATTCATGCCTCTGTATTATAACCAAATACACGACTTATAAATCTCATCTTTCTATTACTAATAAACGTCAAAACTTTTTTACAAACTTACACGTCTTTTTGTTTACCAGAGGGAGACTTTGTACAAAAGTTGTTTGCTTCAGTACCTCCGTCCAATTCGTGTTTCAACCGTAAAGCAGTTGTGTTTGCATGGCTGTGTTTTGGTTTGAAGGGTAGGATATGGCGTAAATTTACAGGGTATAGAGGAATAACACCTGAGTCCTCAGGAATGACAACGCATGGGGGGTATCATGGGTGAAACAGTATACTATGTTATGTCCATGGTACTGCTCATGTCTATAGGCGACGGTTACCACTTTCCATCAGGTGGACATTGTTTGCCATTCTAAGTTGTATGCCTCCCCCATAGAATGCCATAAGCAATGTAGTCACATGCAGAAATAAAAATGCAGATATAATATTAATAAAATTATATTTCAGAAAATTATGTCACAAAAGAGAAAATAAAATAGAGCTTAAATATAATTTGAAAAAAAAATACAATCTTACTCTAATGGCACGACTAAGTTACAACGTGATGTGCTGAATATATCTATAATAAACTTTGGACGGTAAATACGTAACATTGGACGGAAAATATATCATAATTTAAGGTACATAAGACAAATTACTGCTATTCTACATTCAATACTTGGGTCCGTTCACGATTCGTTATTAATAATGTTTACGAAAAACGAAACGTTCACATTTAAAAATCGAATCTTGATGTGGACTACATAAGGGTTGCCACAACAACAAAACTATTGCCACTTTAGCCATTTCCGAGCAAAATCTGGCAACATTTTTGGAATGTCAATAATAATTATATTTACTCTGTGATGTATATAGTAGGCAGGGGTAATATGGATATTGAGCCGATATCTATGTATTGGGTTTTCTGGACATTAATGACAGAAAAAGGTCATCATCCATTTCGATATCGCCCATATCGGTCGGATATCTATTTTCGAATAAGTTAAAAGTTTGTTATCCAATATTATTTGTTGGATAACAGACTTGACATATTCTTAATTGGACCAGTATATATATATATATATATATATATTTATTACCCATACCTACTGTGATGTCAGTGATATAAAAAAAAATTACAAGTACGTATACAAACTCAGCTTACGACTAATATAAGGTTTATATAAAAATATATATAAATTGGACGGAAACATTTACATTTCAGTTAAAATACCAATATACTTCACAGTGCCCATAATCTATTTTATATGTGAAACATAAATCACGCGTGAAACCAACAATAAACTGAAATATAGCTACAAAATGTACACTTGTATATAAGCGCTTAAGAATGTTCGTAAAAAAACAAGATAACATTTGAATTATTTGTCAATTTTCAAAAATAAAATAAAGTAATGCCTAAAGATTACAAAGTATTTTTTTTAATATTTCATACGTCAATCTGGCAGTCGTAATGCCAAACGCCTATATCTGTGGGTAAAGGTGTCCCTGAAAAATTTACACGACAAATCTAATATTCAGTTTTCATTCGTGTTTCAACCGTGAAGCAGTTGTGTTTGCATGACTGTGTTTCGGTTTGAAGGTGGGATATGGCGTGAATTTACTGGGTACAGAGGAATAACACCTGAGTCCTCAGGAATGGCAACGCATGGGGGGTATCATGGGTGAAACAGTATAGTCTGCTATGTCCATGGTACTGCTCATGTCTATAGGCGACGGTTACCACTTTCCATCAGGTGGGCCGTCAGCTTGTTTGTCATTCTAAGTTGCATAAAAAAAAAAAATTCAGACATTCCCTATGAGGCTGGCACAGTAGTATACCTAGGGTAGGTATACTGAAGCCTCAATAAAAATTAGAATAAAAAAAAATACTTTGTGCAAGACAATATGATAAAGATTTAGCCAACTTATTGCTTTTGAAATTTGAAGAACAGGAGAATCTACCATGAAATGAAAATCCGAATTTTCTGACTTAATTTCGCGTTTTTCCCAAACCAAAATTAGCCCAGTAGATGGAGTTTAACATTTCGTTCGTCATAAATCCTATCATAACAGTCCATATTAACGATATTTTAAACGTTATGTTTCATGTATTTTTAACATCAAATTTGTTGGTCCCGTTTCGAAAAACATTTCAGGGTAGGCCCTCAGATGAGTTTTTTTTCTTTTTTTATTTTAAAATCTCTCGCACACTCTACACAAATAATAAAAATAAATTATGGGCGGTGAATGTTAAGAAACCTTAGTTATACTTATATAACTAACTTACACTAACTTCAGCCTTCAAAACGTTAATTTAGTTGAGATTTCTCTTTTATTTATAATACTATGTGTTATTGAAATAAAGCATATTATTTCTATCATTTCCCGCTGTGATTAGCTTTACAGGCTTGCTTCACAAACTATTCAGGTAGCAAGACTCCAATAAGCCATAAGTTTTAAATCAATTTATGGTCGGTGACTGAAAATCGACGTCAAAATGACGAATAATTGCTACCTGGGCACCAATCTTAGTCATATAACAGTTCTATCCTAAGTATAAAACCTGTACTAGTATAAAGCCAGCCTTTAAAACAAAAATTGTGATTTTTAATACTATCATTTTCCATTAGGAAAAACTTCCTTGACCCATTTCACAAGTTACCAACCCTATAAAAACAGGGCTGGATTAACCACGTCAGGGCCCCCAGACAATGCACGACTCGCAAAAAAAAAAAAAACTAGTATAAACTTTATAAAATATACTTACAACAAACATTAACACTTAGTGTTAACTTTTGTTGTATTTACATTTACTTATACAAGTCTTTTGTGTTAATACCAATACAAGTCTTACAAACATACAAGCTCTTACGTGATCTACCAGTTTTGCGTAAATCATTATCAAATTTGAATGCGTACTGTCACTTGATAATATTCAACAATGTGAACAAATTGTTGTTGTAACACATTTTTAGGTCGTAAAAATTTTAAATAGTCTTCAAATTCTAAGTTTTACTTCACAATCTTATACTGTCACTTTGTATTAGTATAAAGACTTTTGTTCTACTTATATATACTTATACAAGTTTATAAAAATTGCATGTTTTGACTTCATACGATAATCTTTCATTTTTCGTTACTGTTAATACTTTTGTTGTACTTGTAATATTATGCACTTATACAAGTCTTACAAACTTGTAAGTTGGACTTTACACTTGCACTTGTATTTTCCGTTAGCGTCAACATTTTTGTTGTACTTATATGTACTTATAGAAGTCTTATAAAGTTACAAGTTTGTTGAATATACTTTGTTGTTTATTCTGTTGAGTACCATTTCCAAAACTTTGTCAGTATCTGCTCTTGATCTGAAACAGTATTTTTATTGTCATGTACAACCAGCAATAAAATTATTATAACTTTTCCATATTTGAGTCAAGATCTGTTTTCTATTGGTTTAAAATTTCGTAAATAAACATCATATTTAAATTCTAAGAATTACCGGACTGATTTTTATTTTTGCGCAATCAGGCCAATGTTGCCAGATAGGATATTTTTTTTTTGCAATTTTGGGTAAAAATATTTCTATTATTGCAATTTTGAAGAAAGGGATTAGTTGAAGTTTTTGGAAAAAAATGAAATGTGAAGCAATTTTTTGGGAGTTTCAATATTTACAAACCGTGTACAGTAATACACAAATGTATAATATATAATATATCAATGAAGGATATCAAGTGAAGTACTCAGTGTAGGGGACGGCATTTTTTCGTCGTTCACAAAATAGTTTTATGGTAAAAAACCTAGTAAAAAAACTACACAGGTTTATGATTAGGTAAAAGTTAAGGAAATTTTATCAATTTCAAAATTAAATGAACGGCCCCGAATAAACTCGATTCTAGCCAAGCAATCTCGACAAAATACACGTAAATCAATCCAGTTACTGTTACAACTAAAATATGAACAACAAATATCTCTATTATTAATAAAAAAAAACTAAATCCAACAAACCTACTAGGCTGTGTTTCGGTTTGAAGGGTGGAATATGGCGTGAATTTACAGAGTACAGAGGAATAACACCTGAGTCCTCTGGAATGGCAACGCATGGGCGGTATCATGGGCGAAACAGTATACTCTGTTATGTCCACGGTACTGCTCATGTCTATAGGTGACGGTTACCACTTTCCATCAGGTGGGCCTTCAGCTTGTTTACCATTCTAAGTTGTATAAATAAAAAAAAAACCTTCTTTAACTATTAGTCTTGTCACTGTCATTCAAATTGACAATTCATCGCAAAAAAAGGACAAAACATTTCAATAGCTAAAATATTTTTATAAGATGTTTTTTTTAGAATAAAGTCTACGAAATAGTACGAGACTTACTTATAACGCTAGTACAACATGATCGCCCCGTTGACCTTCTCCTCCAGCGCCGGAGCTATGGTCTCCACGTCGCGGCCGTCCGACATAGCGACCAGGACGCATATGTCGTTGATGAATGCAGCCACAGCCGCTGCCACTACCAACCTGGAAATATAGGAAAGCATTTGGATGATTTTAAGCAACAAAGATTTCTATCTAATTTCAGTGAATATACATAATACTGGCTTGTATTGAATTTGGATACTAGAGCTTAAAAAGCTTTACAAAGTCATTCTGAGAGAGCATTTTTTTTATACAACTTAGAATGGCAAACAAGCTGACGGCCCACCTGATGGAAAGTGGTAACCGTCGCCTATAGACATGAGCAGTACCATGGACATAACAGGGTATACTGTTTTGCCCATGATACCCCCCACGCGTTGCAATTCTTGAGGACTCAGGTGTTATTCCTCTGTACCCAGTAAATTCACGCCATATCCCATCCTTCAAACCGAAACACAGCCATGCAAACACAACTGCTTTACGGTTGAAACACGAATGGGACAGAGGTACCCAAGCAATCGACTTATGTACAAAGTCTCCCTCTGGTAGCTGTCAGTAGATTGCTCCTTAAAACGTAAAATTTCACAAGATACTATCTGATTATGGCTGTTATGAAATAGCCGACTGTAGATAACGATAGAAGACAAAAAATACAGTTGTCTGCATGGCTATGTTTTGGTTTGAAGGGTGCGATATGGCGTTAATTTAAGTCCTCGGGAATGGCATGTGAGGTATCATGGGCATTTTACTCTGTTATGTCCATGGTACTGCTCATGTCTATAGGCGACGGTTACCACTTTCCATCAGGTGGGCCGTCAGCTTGTTTGCCATTCTAAGTTGTATAAAAAAATTCAGTAAACTTTAGAAAAGTTGATGTCTTCAGAGAGTATTTTACAAAATGGTTCGATATTTTAGGGACGTCCGCCTTTCTAGGGATTTGGAAGTTAAAGGCACAGTTAAGAGGTCCACGGGACTTAAATAGGGGTCACACTTTTTGAAAATGACCCACTTTCTTATCAATTATTAGGTGATTATTATTAAAAAAAAAATATTGGCAAAGACAAGATATTTTTAATTTTGATACTCACCAGAAAGACAGTCCCAGTTCAGCCATGCCGTCTGAAGACCACGCGTTGTCCAGGTCTTCAACGGACATGACGTTGTGCTGCAGCCTCAGGAAGTACTCTGTCAGCCATACTGATATCGCTCCCAGGATGAACAGCACTGAAATAATTATACGCAACAATTTCATTACTTTTTTTTTCTTTCTTTGTTACTTCCCTAGCTTTTTTTATACAACTTAGAATGGCAAACAAGCTGACGGTCCACCTGATGGAAAGTGGATGGAAACCGTCGCCTATAGACATGAGCAGTACCATGGACATAACAGAGTATACTGTTTCGCCCATGATACCCCCCATGCGTTGCCATTCCTGAGGACTCGGATGTTATTCCTCTGTACCCTGTAAATTCATGCCATATCCCACCCTTCGAACCGAAACACAGCCATGCAAATATATATATATATTAGAATTAAAACAAATTAGAATAAATAGAAGAATAGAAGAACTAGTTGTCGGCCCACCTGATAAAAAGTCTTAACCATGGCCTATAAACAGGAATAGTACTCAGAAACGCCAGATAGGCCGAGGATGGCTACGATATGTACGTATGTTCTCACCAGCCAATGAATTAGCAATAAGCATGGGTCGCGGCGAGCAGCGGCAGCGCGCGGCGGACGCGAGCGCGGCGAGTACGCAGGCGCCGCCCGCCGCCGCCAGCGCGGCCGCCAGCTGCGCCGCCGCGCCGCACCACGACCAGCGCCGCGCCGGGTGCGTGCCCGCCTTCACTGCGAACACGGGCCACGGACATCGTTTTTATTCAATGGATTATATTTGTATCCCACATAGGGTTGCCATCGCTAAAATTTTTCAACCAGGACAAGACGCGTGAAAAGCCCGGATTTTAGAGCCCAGAGCTTGGACATATCAACGGATTTTTTTAAACATTAGCGATTAAACTAAATCATAGACGTATCCATTTAGAAACTATGCTTTTATATGATTTGTGTCATAATAGATATGACTGTAGTCCAATTATCAATAAGTTGTGTTATAGAATACCCACTAGAGTGCATTGCCGTTATCCAAAGTCTTTGCCACTAGCCGCTGTTGTACAAATTCTGGAAAACGGTCACCTTTGTATAGACTTGTGAATTCATATAACACTTTATTTAATGATGTTGATATTATTAATGAATGCCCAAGCACTTTTAAAAAGCTAATCTCTAAAAGATTCATGTAATTTTTAGCTGTTCTTGTTTGCCCTCCGGGTGATGATGATGATGTTTTAAGAAGGATGCAGCTGCCCATTTCTAGACCCTTCGTCTGTGTCGTAAGGTGCTGCTAAGTTCCCTTAGTCGCCTCTTACTACACCCACGAGAAAGGAAGGGGTAGCCCATTCTATGACGTGACATACACGGCTAAAACTATAGGGTTCAAAGATATAACACCTCAGCCCTCAGGAGCGACAGCGCATGAAGGAAGTCATGAATGACACAGTGTATTTTCCATTAAGTGAGCTGTCAGCTTGTTTGCCATTTTTAGTTGCATAAAAAAAATCCTGACAACTACCTTGATAAATTAGACGACCGTCGTATATTAGAAACTCTACCAAGCCTAATCCTCGTATATTGGAGGGAAAGGGATTATTAGTAATGGGGTCAAATAGCCCTATTACTAGCAATATACCCTGCCAGGTCGGTCTCCACGTGGTTCCCCCTGGAAACCATCGTGGCTAATTCTAGTTTAATTCTAGCTAACTGACCTACTTTCATCTTCATCTGTCATCCCTCACTGGTGCCCCGCCAGTGAATACCAATAACGCAGACGGGGTTACCATACCATTATCACCCATTAAAAAAAATCCTTGTATATTTCATCTGAATCAGACAAATTTCAAGAACTGGTTTTTCTCGAAACTAAGGCTTAGTTAGGGGGAATTATGTAACCACCACTCAGACGCTGTCATATCGACCGTTCGACCTTAATTGTTAATGTTATGACACATAACACAATGCCTTTATATGTCACGCCTGCGTAAGTCCAACCATTACTCTTAACTACAGGTAATGTCACGCTATGCTTAACTGGAATTAGAGTTATTAACTTGCTGACATCGGGGGAGAAGGGTTAGTAATGCGGATTGCCAATCCCATTACTAGTAATATACCCTGTCAGGTGGATCTCCATGGACCCCCTGGAAACCATCGTGCTGATTATTACAAGTTATTACGATGGGCTAAGTGATCTGCCTTTTCGCGTTCTCTTATGATCCCTCACTGGTGCCCCGTCAGTGTATACTAATAAAGCAGGCGGGGTAACCATTCAATTATCATTCATTAAAAAAACTTGCTGACATCGACTAGTGACTAGATACGGCACCCAATCGACTTGCTAGAACTAAATCTAGCAAGTTTAAGGTAGTTCATAACTTTAAATTACCCAAGTGTGGAACGTCTCGATTGTCTTTCAATTTTGAAAAATAAAAAGATCAATTTTCAATATTCCTGAATTAATGTATTATTTAAAAAATACTCTGTTAGCAAACGTTAACCATGCAAATATATTTTTATTAAACTGTCACCAAAAATTTGGATTTTGATGGCAAATATATATTTAAAAAATTCTACAGCAAAATATAAAATAGATGCAAAATGTAGTTCTAACAAAATAGATCTTGTTGTCTGGCATTAAATGGATTTGAAATAAACCCAAGTGAAGTGAATGAAAGTCGCCTGTGGTCCCGGCATAGAATAGGCCACCCCTTCCTTTCCCATGGGTGTCGTAAGAGGCGACTAAGGGAGGGCGAAGGATGGACAGCAGCGTCCCTCTTAAAACATCTCCAAAGCCTAACTGCGGTTACCAATCCGTCTGCTATTAATTACAACTTAATACCTCCACGCGTTTCTAAAAAAAATGTCTTGACAGACGAACGGATTGATGGACGAACAGGCAACGAAGTGATTCTATAAGGGTTCAGTTTTTTTTACTTTGGAGGTAAGTTATAAGTTTGTTACCGAAAACGAAGCAAAGGAATTTTGTAGCGTACCAATTATACCGTCTAAAACTACGTTAACCGATATATTTTCGTTAACATAACATTTCTTGACAATAAATTGAGAAACAAAACTTACCGCTAAAGTCATGGTTTCTCCATCCGTACCCATAGTTGAGCTCCTTGTGACCTTCGAACAATCCAAAACTGATTCTGCCCTCTGACTCGAGAGGGTTCGAGGTCCTTCGAGCCCTCGCGTCTATCCAGTGGGTAGTTCCCAGCGACGCTACAATCAATGCTATACATAGGCACGACCCGAAGAAGGTCGCGAAAATCATCGATCGTTTAAATAGATTGAGCTTCATCTTGGTCCGCACCACTTTCACTTGAACAAGTTCGACCGTCGCCCCCTAGATGGCGTTACGTCACATCGTTTGTTTACCGCCGTTTTTCGCTTCGATTGCTCTTTTTACGATAATTTCTAACTATTCAGCTTGTGAGAGCCCGCGTGAGATAGATTCATTGTATTATTTCTCGACGAGTCGATCATAACCGCGTCTTCTTTTGTCCTGTTTCTTCACACGACGTTTTCAAAAGAAAATCTGAAACAAGAAGAAAAATTATCGTTTTAAATGTGAATATTAGTATCTTTATAATACCCACATTGTAATTATTCTTCGAAGTTTGAAAACTAAGAGACAATAAAATTTATAGACAACTTATGTAAGCGTTGCTTTATATTTTTACACTAGCTGTATCCCGCAGCTACGTCTGTAGTCGTATAATTATGCTGAATAGCCTATATAACCTTCCTTAAAAAATGAGCTATCAAATGCCAAAAGAATTTTTCAATTCTGACTCCGACTAATAGTTTCAATGACAATATACTTCGTCCGCGCGTCGGGAGATCTTTACTGACTGGGATAAAAATTAGCCTATATCCTTCTGCATCCCATATAGCACATATATACCAGATTTCATACTAATTAGTAAAGACGTTAAAGGGCTATAAAGCAACAAAAAAATAAACGCCCGAATGTTAGGGCCTATACAATATGCTGGCTGAAACAGCAAACGTTAACATAACCTGACACCCCTAGTGTTGCAGGCGTCCATAGGCTACAGTGACCGTTTACCATCAAACAGATTGTATGTTTGTTTACCACCTTCGTGATATAAAAAAAAACTAACGATGTCTCCTATCAGTTCAATCAAATTAGTCATTTCATATTACTAATGACATTTAGGACACCCATACCGTGTGATCCCGGCATAGAATGAGCCACCCCTTCCTTTCCCATGGGCGAGTAAGGCGAAGTAAAATAAAGTAAGAGGCGACTAAGGGAACCTAATGGCCGAAGGATGGTTAGTAGCGGTCCTCTTAAAACATCAAAACCTAGGTGTAGAACGAATCCGTTGGGATTCTGGTAGACTACGAAAAGGCCCCCGGGATCCCAACACTAGAGCGCGGCGAGGAATACCGTGGTGGTTTTTAGCCGGTAGGAGTCTGGCAGTACCCACACATCTTCCGCGGGGATGTGGGTCTGCATGATGCATTTTCCCCACGAAAAAAAAAGGTATAGAACGAATAATGTGTATACCACTCATCTTGTTTTGTTGTATTTCGATTATCTCGATGTTGACAACCCTGGTAATGTGTCACGATACGTTAGCAGCACGCAAAGCCAAGAAACCTGTATTATTGACCTAATGCCACAGTGCAACTCTTTGGCACGCATTACGCAGTAAACGACCTGGTATCACAAAGTACACATTTTTTATTATTTAAGCCGTCAACTGCCCAAGTGTCCATTGCTGGACATAAGCCTTCCCCATAAGGGGAGTTTTGTCAGTAGTAGCCACGCTTGGCAGGCGGGTTGGCATTCGCAGTTAGGCTTTTAGAGATGTTTTAAGAGATACGCTGCTGCCCATCCCTCGCCCTCCCTTACTCGCCTCTCACGACACCCACGGGAAAGTTAGGGGCAGTCTATTCTAAGCCGAGGCACACATGGCCAACAGTATACATTAGGGATGGATAATATATTTCTATATATATAATATTCTATATATAATATTCTATATATAACTATATATTTATATAACTATATACAATATTAACTATATATTTCAGTTACAATATCCATATAAGGTTCCATAAATGAATATGTTAAAAGTATGCTATTCAATATTATTTTTTGGAAAATAGATATTTGAAAATAGATATCCGACCAATATCGCAATAGGTGATGACGTTTTATGCACCATCAACGTCCAAAGTGTACCCAATATATAAATATCGGATCAATATCCATATTACCCATCAAGTATGTATACTATGTATCATAAGAATGAAGCCTCTATTTTTTGCGGGATTCTAGATCCTATTTAATATTTTATTTTATTTTTATTTTATCTTTATTTGGTCTACTAGCAATTGTTACACTGATAAGATTTAATATTAAAATTACTGTCTATTTATACTTAGTGTACAATCATTTTAAAGGAAACACAGCATGCTAATTAACATCATAAATGTGAAAGTTTGTAAACATATTTGGATGTTTGTTACTCAATTACTCTTAAATGGATAAACGTATTTGAATAAAATTAGGTATATAGATTGGTTACTTAATTTTTTTTAATGGAAAGGTCAATCGACTTGCGCTATCCGGTATACGTAGAAGGGGCATCAGTAAGTGGCGATAGGTGAGGACGAAAGCAGGTCAGTTAACCCATCGTGACGAATACCACTAGAATTAACCACGATGGTTTCCAAGCGGAGCCGCGTGGAGGTCGATCTGATACTGCTACCAATTGGGCTGTTAGACTCTATTGCTAACAATCCCTTTCCCCAACAAATTGGTTAGTTATGCTGACTCAATAATACAGTATACATTACATACTGATGCGCGAGCGAAACCGCCAAAAACAGCTAGTAATTATATAAACAACGAATATATATAAATATGTATGATTTTAATCACACATCCAAATAGGATTAGATGACATTTCAATTGCTCTTTGTGCCCCAAGGTTGTTCTCGTATGGTCTAATTTATTTGAACTATGTTCATGTCAAAAGAAATAAATATGGTATGTATCTAAATAAGTATGCAACTGACGTAAATGCAATTTGTCTGCCTATTAAAAAAAAAACAATCATTTGTTTGATCGATAGGTTGATTGATTTATTTGTAGGCACGTCTAGCAGTTCTAGTACATGCGTGACACATTTATTATATAATTGGTAACGAGTAATTTAAACACTTACGACTCAACAGTGAGATAGTAACGAAGTGTTCCCAATTTCTTTTGTACTACTCACTGTTTTTTTAATACTTTTCAACTTCTGCGTTTCATTTAATAACTTCGATCAATTTTTATTCTTTTTTTAAATTAACATGGAAATGGTATAATCGGTATAGGTACTTTTAATAGACGAATATGGAACGGTAACCCGGCCTGCGCTAACGGTATACGCTGGCAGGGCACCAGTGAGGGAAGATAGATGAGACTGAAGCTGGTCAGTTGGCACATTGTGACGAATTAAATAATTAATCACTGTGGTTTCCAGGTGAAACCGCGTGAATGTCGACCTGATAGGGTATATTGCTAGCAATAGGTTTGCTCATCTTTATTACAATAATCCCTTCCATCTTCAAGCAATATAGATGCATTGACGAGGTACCAAAAAGACAACAAGGAGTGATAAGTGAAGATAAAATCGACTGCTCAGATCAGTGGCGTCCAAACTCCAAAATCCAAACGTGGCGAAGTCACTAAGAGTTGACCACGATGGTTTCCAGTGGATACGCACGAAGTATGGCGTGAATTTACAGGGTACAGAGGAATAACACCTAAGTCCTCAGAGTGGTAACGCATGGGGGTATCATGGGCGAAACAGTATACTCTGTTATGTCCATGGTACTGCTCATGTCTATAGGCGACGGTTATCACTTTCCATCAGGTGGGCCGTCAGCTTGTTTGCTATTCTAAGTTGTATATATATATAAAAAAAAGAAGTAATTGCTAGTAATGTGGACTAGTGACCCCTTTGCTAGCAATATACTCTGACAGGTCAACCTTCTCACGGTTCCCCCTAGAAACCAACGTGATTTATATTTTATATAAATAAAATTAAAAAAAATCTATTTTTTTATTGGGTGATAATGGAGTAGTAACCCCACCCGCGCTATCGGTATACACCGGCGGGGCACCAGTGAAGGATGATAGGTGAGGATGAAGCAAGTCAGTTAGCCCATCGTGACGAATTCAACAAGAATTCACGATGGTTTCCAGGGGAAACCACGTGGAGATCGATCTAATAGGGCATTTTGTTAGCAATGGAGCTGTCAAACTCCATTGCCAGCAATCCCTTTCCCCCATCCCCACCTACACCCCCACCTATTAACCCTCACTGGTGCACCGTCAGCGTACACCGACAAAAAAAGAGATGATTCTATATTAGTGTAATCGTGCGAGAGAGGAAGTATCTTGAAAAAACGCATGGTAGAAAATCACCACTCAACCAGATGGTCGATATAGATCTTTAGGAATAGGAGCAATAGTGCTTTCCAGATAGTATTTATCTAGTTTTTCATTGTACTAATGTTAGAGAACAGATAAGATGAGTAAATTACTGTGATGCTATCAATATTTTGTTCTCCGTTTGAGAAAAACTGTAATTACACCACCATCTTGTAGATGTGTGGAATAATTACTGGCACACCCATTAAATTAGGGTTGTCAACCAGCGACATTAAAAAATAATTTATTTCTTAACATAAATGTTTTTTTAAAGATTGTGTTCCACAAAAAAAGAAAACCAACTACAATTGAAACATAACTATGTAGATATTATGATCTAAAAATTAAACTAATAAAGTGATTTTGATAAAATTTTTAAAGGACTAATCCTTTTAGATAAAAAAGAATTTTTGCTAAACGATTTAGAAGTAACAGAGTTATGAGGTAACAAACATGAAAAAGTACACCAATTTATAACCATTTAAAAAAATGGTTATAAATTGGTGTACTTCAGATATTCCAAGATGAATACTCTGATCTTAACTAGATACAATATCCTTTTATGAGATTAGCGATTTATGAGAATTTAGATACATATAAGAGATTTATGAGAGAGCTAATTATGAGATATAACATTAGAAAGTTAAATTTACAATTACAATATGATTTAACTAATCATATTGTAATTGTAAATTTAACTTAGAATTATTTTGTTTAATGTAAGCGAATAAGTGTGCATGTAAATATTTGAAACGTTTTCAAACATACTTTTATGTTTTAGGTACACTATCGGAACTTAACGCGACGATAATTGCAGGTAAATAGTACCTACATACCTGACTTTTATTGCTGATTTATTATTACTTTTATTATTAAGTCCCAATTGTATTTAAAATATGTGCCAACAACGTAAAAGTTTAAAATTATCTTAATTTTTATATTTTTAACCAATGTTTTTATGAATATGTTTATAACGTTCCGTGTTTACATTCAAAGTGATTTTAAAGAAATCGTTAAAAAGAAATTTGTATCTAATTAATAATATAAAACGTTATTTAATTTCTATTCAAAGAACA